ACATATATTTTAGAAAAGTAATGTGAGTCATGTCAAGTTAGCAAGACTGCTGTGTTTCATCGAAATAGTGTTAAAATCACAAACTTGCCTTTTAGAGAGACATAAAGAAAACAAATTCCTTACAAATTAATGAATATTTTACCCGGTTAAAAAGGTTTGCATCCATTAAAGTGTAACTAAAAGTATCTTAGTAACACAAGAAAAGAGAATAAAGCATTGATGTCAACAAAACAGGATTGATCCATTTGAAATTGTGTTAAAATCAAAAAGTGCCTCTAAAGAAAATGTATTCAGATAAAGTATTTTATTTTCAGAAATGTTTAAGGTTTTGCATACATAAAAAGTGTATCTTACAGTTCCTTTGTGAAAGAATTACACACAAATCTGCAGAGTGTCACTAAAAAGTTTTACACAGGGACTGACATTCTGTATGGGGGTTTCACACGGACACAAAGTACTTCATTATCTACTTTTTCAGCTTTTATACACAAAAGTGTATCCTTCAGTAACTTTTCTCAGAGAATTTAAGCATAAATCTGCCAAATGTTTAAAAAAACAGCCTTGTTTCACTGAAATAGCCTCAAAATCACAAACTGCCATTATGAGTCAGATGCTTTGCGGAATCTAATAAAACAGAGTACTTTCATGGTAGTGGTCAGCTTTTAAAAAATAAAAGTGTATCCTTCAGTAAAGTATAATGGAAAAAGGAGAGAAAGACAAAAAACAAAATATCACAGTATGTTGAAAAATATGAAAAAGTAATGTGTTTAAAATAACATGAAGAAATCAAAGTAACGCTTCTAAAAAACATATATTTTAGAAAAGTAATGTGAGTCATGTCAAGTTATCAAGACTGCTGTGTTTCATCGAAACAGTGTTAAAATCACAAACTTGCCTTTTAGAGAGACATAAAGAAAACAAATTCCTTACAAATTAATGAATATTTTACCCGGTTAAAAAGGTTTGCATCCATTCAAGTGTAACTAAAAGTATCTTAGTAACACAAGAAAAGAGAATAAAGCATTGATGTCAACAAAACAGGATTGATCCATTGAAATTGTGTTAAAATCAAAAAGTGCCTCTAAAGAAAATGTATTCAGATAAAGTATTTTATTTTCAGAAATGTTTAAGGTTTTGCATACATAAAAAGTGTATCTTACAGTTCCTTTGTGAGAGAATTACACACAAATCTGCAGAGTGTCACTAACAAGTTTTACACAGGGACTGACATTCTGTATGGGGGTTTCACACGGACACAAAGTACTTCATTATCTACTTTTTCAGCTTTTATACACAAAAGTGTATCCTTCAGTAACTTTCTCAGAGAATTTAAGCATAAATCTGCCAAATGTTTCAAAAAACAGCCTTGTTTCACTGAAATAGCCTCAAAATCACAACATGCCATTTAGAGTCAGATGCTTTACAGAATCTAATAAAACCGAGTACTTTCATGGTAGTGGTCAGCTTTTAAAAAAGAAAAGTGTATCCTTCAGTAAAGTATAATGGAAAAAGGAGAGAAAGACAAAAAACAAAATATCACAGTATGTTGAAAAAATATGAAAAGTAATGTGTTCAAAATAACATGAAGAAATCAAAGGAACGCTTCTAAAAAACATATATTTTAGAAAAGTAATGTTAGTCATGTCAAGTTATCAAGACTGCTGTGTTTCATCGAAACAGTGTTAAAATCACAAACATAAAGAAAACAAATTCCTTACAAATTAATGAATATTTTACCCGGTTCAAAAGGTTTGCATCCATTAAAGTGTAACTAAAAGTATCTTAGTAACACAAGAAAAGAGAATAAAGCATTGATGTCAACAAAACTGGATTGCTCCATTGAAATAGCGTTAAAATCAAAAAGTGCCTTTAAAGAAAATGTATTCAGATAAAGTATTTTATTTTCAGAAATGTTTAAGGTTTTGCATACATAAAAAGTGTATCTTACAGTTCCTTTTTGTGGGAGAATTACACACAAATCTGCAGAGTGTCACTAAAAAAATGTACACAGGGACTGACATTCTGTATGGGGGTTTCACACCTGAGCTGCTGCGGGGGGAGAGCGTTGAAAAGGGGGTGAGTATGTTTGGCTCTCGGGGGGTGGTGTGTTAAGAGTCACAGTCTTAAAGAAAATCTGGTCAGAAAAAGTACTTAACTTTCTACCAGTTGTAAGTTGTCATACATATAAAAAAAGTAAGACTTACTGTTTTCCTTTGTGAGAGAATTACACATAAATCTGCAGAGTGTCTGTAAAAAGTCTCAAAATCGCAAACTGCCATTAAGAGTCAGATTCTTAACAAAATCTACTAATACAAAGTACTTAATTATCTACTTTTCAGCTTTTATACACAAAAGTGTATCCTTCAGTAACTTTCTCAGAGAATTTAAGCATAAATCTGTCAAAGATTCTTAATGAAATCTACGGACACAAAGTACTTCATTATCTACTTTTCAGCTTTTATACACAAAAGTGTATCCTTCAGTAACTTTCTCAGAGAATTTAAGCATAAATCTGCCAAATGTTTCAAAAAACAGCCTTGTTTCACTGAAATAGCCTCAAAATCCCAAACTGCCATTAAGAGTCAGATGCTTTACGGAATCTAATAAAACAGAGTACTTTCATGGTAGTGGTCAGCTTTTAAAAAGAAAAGTGTATCCTCCAGTAAAGTATAATGGAAAAAGGAGAGAAAGACAAAAAACATATATTTTAGAAAATTAATGTTAGTCATGTCAAGTTAGCAAGACTGCTGTGTTTCATCGAAACAGTGTTAAAATCACAAACTTGCCTTTTAGAGAGACATAAATAAAACGAATTCCTTACAAATTAATGAATATTTTACCCGGTTAAAAAGGTTTGCATCCATTAAAGTGTAACTAAAAGTATCTTAGTAACACAAGAAAAGAGAATAAAGCATTGATGTCAACAAAACTGGATTGCTCCCAATCAGTATAACTATTTGATTTTTGTGTGTGAAAAAATAAAAAAATGGTTTTTTACATTTAAAAACTGTTGTCTTCATTATAGCAAGGGGGCGTGTCTGATACATGTGTATTACAGTCCTTATTTTTTGTGTTTTTCAGTGTTTTTCTGTGTGTCTGTACACACAAAACACAAATCATTTAAAACAAACCCTGAATCAAATTTAGAGAGGACCATTAAGAGTCAGAATCTTAACCAAATCTACTAATACAAAGTACTTCATTATCTACTTTTCAGCTTTTATACACAAAAGTGTATCTTTCAGTAACTTTATCAGAGAATTTAAGCATAAATCTGTCAAATGTTCAAAACAGCCTTGCTTCACTGAAATAGCCTCAAAATCACAAATGCCATTAAGAGTCAAATTCTTGACGAAATCTAATAAAACAGAGTACTTTCATGGTAGGGTCAGCTTTTTAAAAAGGAAAGTGTATCTTTCGGTACCCTTTTTTGAGAGAATTAAGCATAAATCTGTCAAATGTTAAAAACAGCCTTGTTTCACTGAAATAGCCTCAAAATCACAAAATGCCTGCACACTGGAATGTGCTATAACAGATATGGCCCTCTTGGGCACTCTGGAACAGGGTAGCGCTCCAGGGAGGGCACTGTAAAGACAAAGGATCAAACGTGGAGGGCAAAGAAAATCTAAAAATCGACTCAGTATCAAAGAAATCATGTTGGAGTGCAAAAACGTTTCATATTTTCCTGCTAACCTTGAATTATCCTGTCCTGTCGTGTTCGCTCACAGCTGTTTCTTACACATGACATGCATTGTTTTACAATTTATTACATAAGGTGAACATGCTTATGTGTTGCACAGGATATAATGGAGCCAAGTACGTATTAATAAAAACAAAATGCTAGCTAACTGACTTGCATGAATCAAAATATATGTAAACCTCTATTATCATTTTTTTTTTTTTTAATTTAATTATCCGCTAAAACCAGCTTCTGTGTTTTTCTACCCTATTAAGCAAAATAACTCTTAACACTGGAAATGTTCTAACATGTTAAAAGGGCTTCTTGTGCTATATACACAATTGTCCTTTATTCAATTTGTCACTTAGGTTGCAAATAACCAACATACCCACTGACAATGGGGTATAAAATCAGGTTTTTCCCCTCTTTTTGGTGTAAACTGAGCTTGTGTCTAATCCGTTCCAGCCAAACCAAACACGAGTAAAAGGAGAACAAGACTTTTTCACAGGCTGTGGAGAATGCTGCTGAATAACTCAAACAGACCAACACAGAGCAGAAAGGGGAACATTTGTCGCCACATTAACATACCGACTCCTCTATCAGTTTTTTGATTTATAAAGAACCTCTCCAAAACTTTACAGGCCAAATTATTCAAATTTAGACTGATGTTTTCTCAATTTGTGACCAAAAAGCGTAATTTCACACAAAAGTCCCAGTCAGTCTAATCCAACAGACCAAGTGGAAAATCTCTCAAACTATTTAAACACAAAGCGTCAATTTGGAGATTTCTTTTCTTGATAGCCATATTAAAAGATACCATTGATCTTTTTGTTCAATTTGTTGGTTTGCTCTCAAGTCCTTATGGTCAAGACTGAAGGCCGCTATTGAAGCAACCGTGCTTCCATCACACTTCAGCAGTGCCACAGGCTGATCGCCTGCAAATTACTGCATGGATGCAGTCATTTGTGCAAAAGGAGTCCCAACCAAACACTCGGAGTAGAAACATGAACATACTTTTCAGAAAGCCGACATTTCTTTATTTAAAATCCTTTTTTTATTGGTCTTATGTAATATTCACATTTTCTGAGATACAGAATTTGGGGTTTTCAAGCTGTTACCATCAAGATTAAAACAAATTAACACTTGAAATAATTCACTTTGTGTGAAATTAATCTATATATTATATGAGTTTAACTTTTTAAATAGAATTACTGAAGTTAATCAACTCTTCCACGATATTCTTATTTATTGAGATGGACCTGTATTATCATGGTTCATAGAACAAAGTATTCTCATTTTTCATTTTGCTTGTTTTGTCAAGACAACCTACTCAAAGCTTTTGAGCAGAAGCAGGACACCATGCAGAAATTGCTCGAAGAGGACGTAGAGCGAAGGAGAAAAGCTGCAGAGGTCGTACAGCCACCAGTCCAGAAGCTCCCAGAGCAGAAAGAGGAACCTCAAGCAAAGATCGAGGAAAAACAGGAGGCCCCTGTAAAGAAAAAGTCAAATAAACTCTTCCCTGACTCCCCCCTGTTCAAGGAGTGGGGTGGGAATCTGTCTGAGGATGAGCAAAGAGAGGCACAGAGTTTGTTTGATAAGTATGGCTACAACGTGTTTCTGAGTGATCGCCTTCCTCTAGATCGTGCTATTGCAGATACCAGGGATAAAAGGTACGCATTGTTATCTCCTATGAAGCCATAACTACCGTGTCACTTCGTACACAATGCAGGGTTAAAGGTTGTTTATAGTTCACCTAACTTGTTTGCTGATAATCCTTCACCTTTTTGTTACCGTCTGTTTGGATTAAACATTTACACAGCTTGTTAAAAAGACAAGGGTTGTGTTTCTGAACAGGTGTCTTGAAAAGACATACCCAAAGGATCTGCCAAGCATCGGGGTGGTGTTGATCTACCTGAATGAGGCCCTTTCGATCCTCAAAAGAGCCCTGCGCAGCATCATCGACCGCACCCCTAAAAACCTGCTGAAGGAGATTATTTTGGTGGATGATAATAGCTCGAATGGTGTGTATGTTTCAAGTGAATCACATTACGCTACTGCTAAATCCTGTTTCTTTGTGCAGATGCCCATGCTGTTGGAACATGTATTTTAGTTTTTAAATATATTGCTGCTTTTAGACTGGAATCCTGATTTTTATCAGTTTTTTTTAATATGAATATACTTTTCTCAGAAGTCTTGTAAATCTCCCAGAAGGCATTTTGTCAAATGATCTTCCAGCTTTGAAGCAGTTGTTTCATACTTTAGGAAATACACCTCTTGGCAAGAGTAAGTTCAGAAGATGAATGCTACTGTCATATCTGTAACGTAAAATATTAAATTAGGATGGCAAGTGGTTATTTTAGCTTTGAAGAAACACTAGCATGTAAACTCAATATCATTTATAATTTTAAACACATTTTGTTGATCATACGCTGGATACAACAAAAACGAGAATTCGTGTTGCTACAGCTCCAGCACATAACCACCAATAAAACCACACATTTTAACATTTGTAAGTGTCAAAAAAAAAGTATGAGTCTGCTTTAGAGCTCGAACAACAACCAATCACATGAATCTCCCGCCCCGGACACACAAGCATGCGGTTTGATTGGCTAGTGCTTGTACTGGCGATTCGATTGGCTGTCGAAGCTTTAAAAGTAGAACATTGCTCTACTTTTGAAGCGAGCAATGCGAGCAAAGCGAAGCGACGGAATCACGATGCAGTTCGCAAAGCGTGACGTTACCCCATTCAAAGTGAATGGGCCAAAACGTTGAAGCTTCAATGCACGCCGCCATGTGGACGGGCCGTTACATGCAGTGGTGGGGCTCAAGTCAGTATTTGCAATGTAATTACATATACACGTATCGCCCCCCTTGACAGTGAAACGCCTTGTGTGAGGTTTAGATTATTTCCCTGTCTCAAAAAACGGCACATTTGTCTTGTAATAAATAAAAAGGGTTTTCCCCACAGGTGGAAGAGTTGACATGCTGAAAACCCAACCTCTGCAGGGGGGTCTGGGGGGATTGTCCCCCAGGAGATTTTTTTGAAATACTAACATAAAATACACATTCTGGTACTCTCTTGAGAAGAAAAAAAATCAATCTATTACTACACGACATTCAAAAAAATGAATGCCATTGTTACTTTGTTCTGAAAGCTGAACCTGCTGCTCCTCACAGAGAGGAGAGAGGAGAGAGAAGAGGAAAAAGGCTGTGTGAATTACTTTACATTGTGGATAAGGGTGGATAGCCCCCATTGTTCTGTGTGTCAAAATGAAAGACAGCCCACACACCTATCAATCATCAAACCGTGGGGTCTTATTTTATTACGTGTTGATGTATCCATGGATGTATAAAGAGTAGTTCTACCGCAAAATTATTCTCCGTCGGGACTTCCTGCAACAACACCACGCCGTTATCGTGATTCTGGCCGTGATTCTGGCCGTTTCTCAATCGCGAGGATGCTGGCTTGGTAGCACATGTCTTCCGAGTCACTTCCTTCAGAAGCTAGGCAAGAATCCTTCCTGGCATTCGGAAAACGAAGAGTGGAACAGGCTAGCAAGTGTGCAGGTGTGCGTAATATGAGAGGCCCCGCCTTACATTTTCCACCACAGATTTGGGGAAATTGGTCCGTGCGCAAAGCATTGTGGGGATTTGAAGGACGCGAAGTCTACCCATGTGCAGCCTCGAAATTACCCCCAAACCAAGGACGCGGCCTCGGTGGAATTCCAAGTATGCTGGAGATTGGAACAGTCCTTCGGCGGCACTCGATGACGTAGTATCCTTGACATATTGGCTTGGAAGCCAGTTTCCTCGCGATTGAGAAACGGCCTCTGATTGGCCAGAAGACATTAGCAAAGATGTTTCATTAAGAAGACGATCACTACGTGACAAAAGTTTTCAAAACCGTTTCTAGTCTTCGGTATTTCCAGACAAGTGGCTACTGACATCAATCTTACTAACTGATGTCTGTGCAATTTACTCGGCGCGAGTTGGCAGACTTTTATTTGCTATACTTTAACATAATTTTTCATGGTGGGGCTAAGCCATTTCAGGGTATGGCTGTAGCCTACCCCAGCCATACCCTGGAGCCGCCACTGGTGCTGTGGCACTGGATTGCAATTTACTAATACGACTCACATTTGTCCATCATAGAATGAATAAAACATCATACGCTTTTCAGTATAATTTGAGTAGATCATCAATAACTACAAGTGGTATCACCCCCTTGCTTTGGAAAAACCAAATCTGTCACGCCTGTTCTTCCCTAATGTCATAACATATTCCCACTTTATCCTCTCAATTCAAGAGGACCTGAAGGGTGACTTTGACGTGTATGTGAAGTCGCTTGAGCAGCAGAACCCAGGCCTCCGCTTTACAAGAGTGAGGCACAATGAGCAGCGAGGCCTTTCATACGCCAGGGCTTCTGGGTGGAGGGCTGCTACTGCTGACGTGGTGGCCATCCTGGACGCACACATTGAAGTCCATGAAATGTGGTAAGAGTGTGGCAAAAATAAATCCTTTTCAATGTTAGTTTATTTATAACATTAACAGTAAGTATGTTATGTTTGTAGAGAAAAATATTTTTACTCCTGAAAGGTGATAATGGTTCTGGATGTCGTTTGGTAGAAACATTTGTAAAACTTTTAAACTACTCTCAACATTGTGCTCGGACGCACTACAAAGTTTATATTGGCTGCCGATGTCTTTTATACATAAATACTGTATGTGTCCCCGGTGTGTAAGGGAACTCACAAAGTGTAAGAAAACAAAACCCTCTCTTTTTTCCTCCGTACCCAAATCTATAAAAACGGGGGTACAATGGAGCTGCCGTTATGACGTAATATCGGAAATGTAGGCTGGCTTTACACCCACGGCCCTATCAGAAACAATGCGTGTTTTGGAAGAAATTTGGTCTTTGTTTACATTAGCAAGCATCGCTAAAACTCAGATCTAACGCTGTACTGGAGAGAGTATGGGTAAAGAAGCAGTAAATAAAAAAAGGAACTCACCCTTAAGAGAGAAAGCATTTGAGCTCCATACTGTTTCAGAAATAATCCTCGATGTGGTTTTTGGCATTTAATCACGGCAGCATTTAGCTGAGTATCTGGGTAGAATTCTGCATAACCTCCCCCTCCTTTTTTTTTTTTTTTTGTGATTCCCAGAATTAGCACTTCTCTAACAGGGCTGAAATAGAGGGAGGGGTACAAGGCATGGCTAGAATGGGTGATCTGTTTGATATTTTGAGCAAAACACTTCATATACATGTTTTTATATATGAGACCTATAATATATGCTCGACAAATGATCAAAGTGAATAGTGAACCTGCTCTCCTCCCTTCTTTTCACTCATGCAGGGCTGAACCTCTGCTGACGCAGATCAAGGGGGATCGGACCGTGGTGACGTCCCCTGTGTTTGACAAAGTCAACTATGATGACCTTACAGTTATTCCATACCAACCAGCCGCACATGCCTTCGACTGGGCTTTATGGTGCATGTATGAGAGTTTCTCCGACGATTATTACAAACTCATGGATGGCTCACTGCCTGGAAAGTAAGTAAAAGTGTATCCAGTCTAGTTTTACATGTCTCAAACAAATATAACATGGATGAGGTTTTCTTGATGATTTGAAATGAAACTGATGTATTCCACTGTAGAATGTTTAAAATGATACACGACTCACAGTTTACTCCTTTTTATTTCAGGAGTCCATCTGTCATGGGAATCCTAGTGGCTGACAGAAAGTATCTAGGAGAAATTGGAGTTCTCGATGAGGGAATGAAAGTGTACGGTGGTGAAAATGTGGAGCTGGGAATTCGAGTGAGTAAGCGTCGCCTATCCACCCCTGTGACTTTGTTTTAATGATTGTGAGGTGAACAGCTATGTTACAGAGGATAGAGATGTGGACAGTGGCTATTTCTTTATTGGTAACTTCCTGGAGTCTTTGCTGGTTGTCTGGCAACTTTGCCAGGAAGAGATGGTGTCCTGCAAACTGTGTGCTTTGCGCCTGCACTAATAATTTTGTTGACAGAACAATTATTCTATTTGATAAATGAGTATAAAGGATAACATGTTTAGTTTTCTGCTCGTATACTGTAGGTGTGGACATGTGGAGGCAGTATTGAAGTAGTTCCATGCTCCAGGATCGCCCACATTGAGAGGGCCCATAAGCCCTACATGCCTGATCTGTCTGTAGCCATGAGGAGAAACGCCATGAGGGTAGCAGAAGTCTGGATGGATGAATACAAACACAATGTCAACTTGTTCTGGAACTTGCCATTTGAGGTACTTCATTTGTGGGCAAACTACATTTTTGTGGATACTTAGAACTAAAAGTAAATAGTGAATATGTTGCTGTTTTCATTGTGAAATGGCCCCCAAATTAAAATGCATCTTACCATTGTGTGGCAACGAGTTGAAAAAAGCATAATGTTGCCGTCCCAAAGAAGTGTGCAGTCATGTGTATATGTGAAAGAGGGCAGGAGACAGTTATTGTAACAATTATTTTTGACCTTTACTAAGCTGTCAGTGGTGTGATGAAAACTTCTGAAGCAACTTTGATGGCAAACACTGATGGTTTATTTGGAGCTTCGGCTGGAGAATTCACAAGACATGTCGTGTGCCACGAGTTGACACAGCAGATGCCAAGCCAATTCTGAAGATCTCTTCTGCAGTAGGAGATTTTAACTAGTTCAGAGAGTGTAATCAACACTCCTCATTTAGCGAGACTAAACAGGTGGAGACACTGAATCACCTAACTAAAACAAGCACTTTGAATTGTCGCGTACAGAAAAGTGCTATATAAATAAACTTGCCTTGCCTTGCCTAAAGTTGTCGGTTATGGCTAGAGAATGCACACCTCGGAGCCTTCCTAAGATAAAATGTCTCCAAATGTCCCAAAACAATAAACTCTCAGATCGAGCTGTGCCCGATCATAAACTGGCAACATTAACCACAGTTTGAGCAGCCCCTCCTTAAGCAGCTGTCCAAGGCTGAGAACCTGTGTCCAAGGAACAGGAGGCACAGGAAGGAGAAACAGATGGAGTATGTCAAAGAGTGCCCCTAAGCAAATTATTCCCTAACAAGTGTCACTTCGTATACGTAAAGCATTGAATCATGGATTATTCTCGAAAAAACTGCAGTTGAAGCGTTCCTCAGGCTCGAAAATGACATGCCCAGAACAAATGACAATATATTCACTTCTAAAAGGGGTAAATGAATAATCTTTTTTCTCAAAGCAATGATAAACCTGTGAGTTGGCTGTAGAAGTGTCAGAATCAATATAGATGTTTTTATTTTAAAGTAAATTCCTGATTGAACATAGTAAAAAAATGTAAATTATAGTTTCCGTCTAAAAAAAAAACATTACTTATAGTGAAAGCCACCCTTGAATGATGGGATAGTAGCCAAAAACCTTTAGGAATCCAAACTATAACATATATAATAAGTACCCTGTATCAAGAATAATGCAAAACAAGTTAAATTTGACCTTTTTAGAGAGGTTTAGAAAAAGTAGGTCCAGGAGGACTCACCTCTGGGTACATTTGGGTGTATTTGCCATATCTCTGGAACCCATTGGTCAATTTGGGTGATTGACACCTCTTTGTAACTGTTAGAGCCAATAGAATCGAGGTGAAGTTCCTTAACCCATCTAAATATTACCATTGATGAGTTAGAATGATGCGCACGCAGCTTGCCCAAAACCGGAAGCTCCGTACACTCTATATGAAAAATGAGTTTATTGCCATAAATGTTATGATGGATTATCAGTAATCATTTCAAAATGACACAGACACATTGGATTATTAACCTCCAGCAGCGTTTATATGCGTTTTAATGCCCTTGAACACAACTTTTGATCAGAAAACAGCAAATGTAAGACGTATTTGCCGTTTTGGCCCCGTAAAGTGAAGTTGTGTGTTGTCTTTCCTGGCTTTCGCTGCCGTGAGTTTTGGTCAAACAGTGATGATATACTTATACCAATGGAATCTGTGGAATCTCAGTTTTCATATGATATCTAGTTTGTGCAGATTGCATGACATATAACAATCGCTACAGTGAGTTATGTGCTAAGTGCGCTAGCATTTCTTCGCTTAGTGCTAATTTAGACGCTTGGTGTTAGACTTGTGTTTCGTTTAGGTAAAAATTATTAATATTGTCTGATAGCTGAGTTTCTTCCCGTTATTTGGGTATGACACATTAATAGGTTGTTAAATGTTAATAAGCCCTGAGACACAGTTTTGTGCAATATTGTTGTGTCTTTTATGGTTTAGGTTTATGTGCATTTTGAGATTTCTCGGGGCATTTCTTTCCCGTGCCCCGTTAACTTCTGACAATAAAGGGGGCATCTTTGAGTGAATCTCAATCACTTAAGCTACAAAATAACAATTTATACCATATTCCCTGCAGAATCATGGAATTGACATTGGGGATGTCACGGAGAGGAAAGAACTAAGGAAAAGGTTGAACTGTAAACCCTTCAAATGGTACCTGGAAAATGTGTATCCCAAGTTGGATCCCTTGGACAACGTAGTTGCATATGGAGGAGTAAGTTTAGTTTCATCTAATGCTTTGAATGGTGGTAGAATTATTGCTGGGTGTGTGTTTTAATTATTCACTCCTACACAGCAATGTTTTCTACATTTGAGCTCCCAAATATTTATTATTATTTTACTTTTTTTAATGTCTTTTTTTTCTCCCCTACTTATAGATGAAGAATCTTGATACCAACATGTGCTTAGACCAAGGTCCAGTGCCGGGAAACACACCCATCGCCTACAATTGCTACTACTATGGACCTCAGGTAAGTTAAGATTCTAAAAGTGGTTATCAAGATTAATCCTTAATCTTTGTCGTATTTGCTGCTGATTTAACTGCCAAAACTGCTTTTTAAAATACTTTTTAGATGACTTATTTTCGATCAAACGGAGAGCTCTACATCGGCGGCATCAAGTCCCACAAGTACAATGACAACCGGTGTATAGCTGACATTGGGAATAAAGAAACAGAACCAGGGCTGTTCAACTGCAGAGAGGCTCTGCAGAAGAAAATGGGGATCTACTGGGACTTCACTCAGGTACTATTAATGAAATGTAATCTAGCAAAAGAAGCAACTGGTAAAATATTGTTACTAGTAAAAGCCCTGTGTTCAAAGATATTGTTGTTGTTAAAGTATTAGCATCAAAACAAACACTTAACGTAGCATGATGTGTTAAAATGAACAGCGTTTTCTTAAAGGTCCCATGACATGGCCATTTCTACTGATCATAATTCCATTGTTGAGGTCTACTAGGATAGATTTACATTGTTCAATGTTCCAAAATCACATTGATTTCGCATACAGCATCTCTGTATAGTATGTGTATTCACTGTCTGTCCTAAATGGCTTGTTGGAGCTCCTGCCCCCCCCCCTCCCTATGAGCCCACTGTGCTCTGATTGGTCAGCTCGTCCACTATGTTCTGATGAGTCCACCACCGTTACAGCGGGAACATCAGTGATTATGTGTTACAATGGCGTTAGCAACCAGAAAACGACACCAGTAATGACAAACAGATGAGAATGCGGATCGAGGAGCAGACAGTGTGAGCTGTATTACTTGGGTCATTTCCTGGTTGCTGCATGGGGTCTGCGAGACAGCGAGACATCGCGGAACTCAGCCTGAGCACACACATACACTCACAGCCAGGCTGTTCGCTACACAGTTCGCCACACTCACAGCCTGAGAAAAGATAAGGGTGTGTGTGTGTGTGTGTGTGTGTGTGTGTGTGTGTGTGTGTGTGTGTGTGTGTGTGTGTGTGTGTGTGTGTGTGTGTGTGTGTGTGTGTGTGTGTGTGTGTGTGTGTGTAAGAAAAAAAATTGGAAAGATCTCCTACGAGGCGTTCTGGGGCAGCATAGACAAGTATTTTCTGTGTTAGAGTTTTACTCGCTACAGGGTGTACTTTGAGGGTTTTTGACTTTGCAGACCGTTTACATGCATAAAAAGCTACACAACACACAAGGGGACAGATAATAACCGGAAAAGCATGTCATGGGACCTTTAACACTAAATTGTAAATTACCTTTCACTAGGAGTGGTCATTTCTAACCGTTGGTGTTTTGACATATCTGAAATGTTATTGTTTTACCACTATATTAATCAAATGACTTCACAAACCACGTCTGTTTTCACCAAATCTGAAAATGCATGTAGTCGTCATAATTTGGTATGTACCACCCTTTGAAATGGTAGCGTGGGTTAGCTCATGGTGACTCATTGTTCAAAATGTTGCGGTCGTCTGAATGTTTAATGATGACATACTGTGTAATGTGTATACCTACTGTTTACATGTATTCTCTTTTCTAGGGCAAGGAGATAAAGAACAGAGAGACAAAAAGATGTCTGGAGATTAAAAAAGATACACTAGTAATACAGGAGTGCTCTGGCCAAAGATGGGAAGTCCAACACATAATCAAAGCCTTTTAAAGTGTGTCTGTGTGTTTGCGGCCAACAAGAAGTGCACTTCTCTGCTCATAGGTCAGTCTCAAATAAAGTCAGTAACGCTATCATGCCTTTATATATATATATCTCTGACAGACATCAATTCATCTCCATCAACAACTCCAAATCCCCCACAGTCCCTGTCAATTATGGTGTCCCTCAGGGTTCTGTACTTGGTTCCCTTCTGTTCATCATCTATATCCTCCTACTTGGACAATTCCTCTGTCAAAACTAACTCCAGTTCCGCTGTTATGCCAATGACACACAGCTCTACCTATCAACAAAATGCATTTCTCCAAGCACACACTCCCAATTCAGCACCTGCCTCACTGACATTACAATTTGGATGCAAAACAATTTTCTAAAACGCAACTGCGACAAATCAGAACTCATAATCATCGGCCCAAACTCACTTACCCGCTCAACCCCTCACTTTCCTCCCTCGTGTTAACCAGGTCACAAAATCCGCCTTCTTACACTTAAAGAACCTTGCCCGCATCAGAGCCTCCCTCCCATGTCCGCTGCTGAAACTCTCATCCATGCATTCATTACATCCCGTCTTGATTACTGCAACAGCATTCTTTATGGTTCACCTGCATATATCCTCAAAAAAATTCAATATGTCCAAAACTCTGCCCGCATGCTCACCTTCACCAGACGCTCCTACCACATCACCCCTAACCTCCATGATCTCCACTGGATCCCCATCAAACCCCATATTGACTATAAAGTCTTACTATTCACTTACAAAGCTTTCCACAACCTTGCCCCCCCTACCTCTGTGACCTCATCCAATGACACACCCCCACCCGTCGCCTCAGATCTGCTGTCGCTTACCTACTGTAGAAATCAGAACCAAGCTCCGGACCTGGGGCCTTCGCAGAAGACTCCCCCTCACTCTGGAGCTCCTTCCCCAGCCACGTCCGATCTGCCAACACTCTCACGTCATTAAAAAAAGCCCTCAAAACTCACCTTTTCACTCTTGCCTTTAACTCCTAATCCACTAACCCCTCGTTGTTATCTTAAATGTATTGTCTTTTCCCTATGGTTGGATGTGATGAATAGACTTTATCTCTGCAAGTACTTATTATCTTTCCTTCTTTATCCAACATTTTTCTTTTGTTTGACACTACACAACGGAATTTGCTGATTTGACCAGAAAATTGCATTGTTTTCAATGTAAAACATTTTTATTTGGTTCTATTCCTTTAAGGTTTAGTGGCGTTGATGCTGTTATGAGCAGGATCCTGGTTAGAGATAGGCATAATGTTTCTCAGTAAATCTCATTTGGGGATTGTTGACAGGCAGCATCTTACATCAGGCCGAAACGCAACCTAAAAATGCAATTCAGCCCATTTTCATCTTTGCAATCGTTTCACTCAGGGACACTAAATATATTATATGCAATGAAAAAGCTAATGCAAATGTAGAAGATAGTTTGCTGAATTTCTTCCATGGTAGCTGTGTTCACAACAACAAATGCTCAGATAGATGCAAGTGCTTTCATTGCGTTGCTGTGATTAAATGTGACCTTTTTTACTTCTATCACAATCAGCCAGTTGTTACAAATGCCACATATGGAAGCATTGTAATGCAATACGTGCTGTTTTGTGAACATCCAGTCTAAAAATATAAACGTTTTCTTGGTAATTTATTTCTACTTTACACTGCAATATAATCAGTATAGAGAAATTCAAATCATAAGGTAGACGAAAATGAAGTAAAATTAAGGGTGAAAATAAAAAGGGTAAAAAATCAAAACCAGCATGCATGGATAAGTGAACATTAACAAGTCCACAGCTTAAATAATTCCTGTATACCTTCTAGAAAAACGATGTTAATGAATGGGTTCCGAACAGGTTTAAATGTACTATGGCATTTGGTCATTAAATGTTGTCAGGTTTTACTTCTGCAATCTGATTCAGAGAAGGGAATTTGTGTCCATTAGCACTAGTCATTTACATCTAAAAAAAACGTTATGTTAAAATCGTGTTACAGAATGGATGGTACCTCTTTTTGAGTGAATATGTATTCTTTATGTTGAGTGTATAAATTATTATCTTGGTGTTTTCTAATGACTTTTCTATTCTGGGGAGCCTATGTTCAAAATATGTTGAAATATTATTGTCTTTTGAAATCTACATTTGGAAATAAAGTTTATGTTTGAATTGGTTTGTCTTTGAATTGTGTTTGTTTTGGTATTAAAGGCCTATCTAGCTTATATAGCCCAAAAGCTTCCCTTATGCCGATATAGGAATTGGGAATGTAACGTCATGAACAGCAATCTTTGGAGGATAATAGCAACCGCAACCTATTATAGTAACCTACATGTGAGTGAAATAGCATCACTTTTACAATTTAAACTTTTTAAACATGGTTGGTAGGCACTGTTATGTGCTAGTTGTAACAGCCACTATATGACCAATGAACAAAAAAGGACTATGGAATTACTATTTATACTTTTATAGCTAAATGTAAACAAGGGACACATGGTAAACATCACAAAGAAACGCTGAATGTAATCAATGGCAGCCATCTACCGACTGACTGTTGCTGTTTCTATTGACGCTATCCTCCTACGATGGCCACAACTCTCCACATTGCACAGTGGTTCCCATTGTCTGTAGTCAAAAGAGACAAAACTCAAATAGAATAATAAATCAAGATATGTTTTAGCCGTTAAGTTATATTACACACTGCGTAAGAGATTAATGTGTAAGGTATATTCACATAACCTTAAAGGGATGGTTTGGATGTTTTAAAGCTGGGTTGAATTAAAAAACGTATTTAAAATTTTTTTTAGTATCAACTACTGTAGAAACTAGTTTGAAGAAACAAGACAGGAGAACCAGCTCAGGAGCAAAGGAATGTATTGCTGTGGAAGATGGCAGCAGCAAAATGTATTTTAAGCTCTGTCATTTTTTTTTAATGTATGCTAATTTTAGAATTGTTTTCTTACCCTTGTTCATATTATTTATCTACAGCTCTGGAAAAATAAAGAAAACGCATTTCTCTGGATTTAATATTTACAGGATTGCGTTATTCAATATCTACTGACAACATTTTAAACAAGTTTTAAATACAAATAGTCAATTAGATAATTAATGGTAAAACAATGACAACTGGTCCAAATAACAAAAAAGCTGCAGTGTTTTTTCAGACCCCAATAATGCAAAGAAAATAAGTTTGTATTAATTTTTAAACAACACATTTGAAATGTTTTAACAAAGGAAGAGTTTGGAAAACAATGTTTGGTGGAATAGCGCTATTTTACAATGACAGCTTTCATGTGACCTGGCATCCTCAGAACCAGTCTGTATGGTTGCTGTTTGTTAACTCGATGCCACTCCTAGCAAAACTATTCAAGCTGCTTGTTTTTCTTTTGGCTTGTATTCACCAGTCTTTATCTCGACCAAATAGCAGAGCTTTTCATTGTTAAATGCCACTCCTCAACCGTTTGGTGACATGTCATTACAGAAGCTGACATTACAGAAGCTGAGGGTTTCACTGTGCTGACATGTACAACTGCTCTTGTGGGCAGGGCTGGAGTGTGGTGAAGATTTAAAAAATCTTGATCACATTTCAATGTTTTTTCAATGGTATAAAGGTCTGGAGATTGGGCACAAAAACTTGTCGGGGGTTTATTTTATGGGTGAACATATTCTTTATGTTGACTGTAAAAAGGATCTTGGTGTTTTCTAATGACTTATCTATTCTGGAGATCCCGCTATATTTTGTGGTTTCACAATCCAGGGGGGTATAGTCTGTTTATTCACAGTGAACTCGAATTCAAAACAAATATTAGTTTTTTTGTGTTCAGACAAAGGCCTATGTTGAGAATGTGTTAAATACAATTAAAATTGAATGTACATTTGCAAATAAAGTTGATGTTTAAATTGGTTTATCTTTTAATGTTTTTAAGTAAAGTTCTAGCTTAATGTCTCCAAAAACTGTCCTGATAGTTGAGTGGTGAGTTCTTCCCTTTGTTAGGGGACAAAAGACAACCAACACCAATGTGTTTGTGTTACTCTCAAGTACTGTACCAATGAACAATGTGCAGATTTGGATTATGATGTGAAATATAATCAACACTTAAATCAGACTTTAGTTACACCTGGAGTAAATTCACAAGCTACCCTGCTGCAGTATACAAAGTCATTAAACCTGGACCTCTACCAGCTTTGATAAACACTTTAATTATCAATAGTTAGCCTACTCAAGTACTTCTTCCACCTCTGTATGTAGGCCTATGTAATGTATTGTAGAGCGGTTTGCACTGCTGGTGTCTTCATGAAACGTTTGTCTCCACGACACCGGAAAAAGCCGACATCTTACGAACGCTGACGAACTCTGGTTTCTTAGCAACCCGTGTGTTTAAATTGAAGCTAAGTTTGTCGTGTCCTAGGACAGGAGCCCGTTCCAAGTTTAACACTGCATTTCGTTACGTAAAACACCATATTTTAAGTCAAAATGTTCAACTTTGATTTACCCTCAGACCGCGTAGCAAGGACAAGTCTGCAGAGGCGACGCAAAGACGAGACTGAAAGACGAGAGAGGGTTTTTAATGACACAATCAGGATGTTCTGGGTAAGCTAACATTAGTTAGGTGTTTTTGCACAAATATGCTAACCCCATGATGCTAACGCATAATGTAAATGTGCTGTCACGACCGTTGTCTGTCTCATAGGTTGACAAGGAGGCCTTAGACTCGCAGTTGAAAGAAAAATATAAACAAGAAGAAGCAGCAAAACTGGAACAACAAGCTCGTGGTGATGTAGCTCAACATTAGCTAATGCTTCCTGACTTCTCAATTAGTGTCATGTCACTCACAGGAAACACTAGCTCATCACTAACATCCATATGGATATGATCCCCACTATGTTGTGTATTATGATCAACGCATTGCAGGGCTGGGTCATATTACTTAATGCATACAAATGATATGGCCATTTTTGTGGTTTTGGTATCCATTATATAAAAACAAAAAAAGCAGAGGTGGGAAGTACTCAGATCTTGTAAAAGTAGAAGTACCAGGGTGTTGGAATACTCTGTTACAAGTAAAAGTCCTGCATTGCAAATGTTACTCAAGTATAAGCATCAACATATACTTAAAGTACCAAAAGTAAAAGTACTCATTATGCAAACTGGCCAATTTCAGAATAATATGTTTTGATTATAATTATTGATAATGTAAGTGTTTATCAAAGCTGGTAAAGGAGCAGCTAGTTTGAATGACTTTGTATAACTGCAGGGTAGCTTGTGAATTTACTCCAGGTGTAACTAAAGTCTGATTTAAGTGTTGAATCAGTTTATCAACTTAAATTCCCCTTCATAAATAGTACTGGCACACACTACAGGCGTAGGCCTAATGTGTATATTTTTTAATGAAATTACGTTTTTATCATTGCTTTTGCCTTCACTCTCATAACACAAGAGGAGCACTTACTGAAATGTATCCCTTACTTAAAAACTCCTTTATCCATAAATTGTCATTAAAGTAAAACAAATATGAATTGTTATGGGTTAATTGCTTGGTTATCATACATCTCTTTAAATGTGATACCAAACAAATACCATATTCAATGATCTGGGCTGCTGACATCATGGTAAATAGATACATCACTACTAACCCTGCTGTAATGCCTCTGACCTGTGTCTTCCATACAGATGCTGAAATGCTCCATAATAGCAAAATAGCTTGCCTCCTTCACAGCAGAGAAGTGAAGGAGAAGCGTGCGATGGAAAAGGCTGTCGTTGACTACCGGCATCAGTACCAGCAGCCTCAGTGCCAGAGCGACTATGACCTGAGCGACCCGCACCGCTGTGGGAACACAGACCCAGGCGACGCCCAGATGATGCTCCCTGGCCTGCTGGGCGAGGACCCCCACAGTGAGAGCAGGGGACGGAGGCAGAGGGAGCAGCAGAGGGAGTGGCTCCTCCAGCAGCAGGGGGAGCAGGCAGCAGAGAGGCAGCGACAGACGCTGGAGGGTAGGTGGTGATCCCATAGTAGAATCAAGATTCAAAGGCTTTACTGTCTGTTTATACACAGCAGCTGCAGTGAGGATATGGCAATGAAAAACTTAAAGGTCCTCTATTACACTGTTTTTCATCAACAGGTCTCAGATATACCAAACAAGTCTCTGACGTGTTTGGCTCCAAACACCAAACAGATCATTGTAGCATCCCATAATCCCCTCTGTTTCAGCCCTGTTTCCAAAGTGCTGATTCTCTGTCTGTTACTTTAGATGAAAACAAAGAGCCCCTCCCCACGCCCCTCTGAGAGATATTTGGTTAAAAAGAACACAATGGTGCTCTAGGAGGAGATTCAGGTGATAAGGTGGCGGGGGGTTACCTTGGTTGCTGATTGGCTAATGGTTACACAAGCCAAAAAAACGTTATGAAATCATGAAGTGGCCAAAATCTGATCAGCTCATTTTCAGACAGGTTTTTATAGAAATCGATCAGGACAAAAAGTGAGATAATCTTTTTTCCTGAAACTTTCAGAATCCTTTAAGTCCCAGGCTCCTCATACAATGCACCGCAAATATAAATAAAACAATAAATATTGCAGGAAGAAACAAATAGAGAGAATAAAATAGCCGACCAATGTGTAGTACTGTAGATGAAGTAAACTATATGAATAATAATAATACAATAAGCTAAATGTTTCAGAAAAGTAAACAAGTAAATGCAAGTCTATATACAGATACACAAGAACAGAGAGTATAATTTAAATTAAAATAAATGCACAGTGAAGTGAAATTCTGTTTATTTAAATTGTAAGATGCAAACAGATCAATTAATAAACTAAACTAGGATTCATTTAATTTCAAACCTTTATTTATCCAGGTGTATCCCATTGAGATCATTGATCTCTTTTTCAAGGGAGACCTGCTCAAGTAGGTTCCACATGAAACATAAAAACATAAACAGAACAACAAAAAGGACATCATACAGCATCATAGGATCATAGGATCAGTTCCCATGCATGAAACGTGACCTTTGTTCTTCTTCACTGCTGTTTTTCAGAGCAGCGCTATGACCTCAGTAGAACATACATGGAGAAAAAAGCTCTGCAGCTTGAGGGCATTGAGATGGAGAGGAGAAGAGCAGAAACTGTCGCCACTAAAGAGTTCAATCTGGCCAAGGTAAGTCACTCAGGTAATCACACGGTCACATAAAGGTGGTTCAACTTGCTTTGAAAACACGCAGGTTTAAGGTATACTCACAAAAAAATGTGTTTGAGTATATATATATATATATATATAATATCTACTGACAAAATTTTAAACAAGTTTTAAATACAAATAGTCATTTAGATAATTAATTGTAAAACAATGACAACTGGTCCAAATAACAAAAAACTGCAGTGTTTTTTCAGACCCCCAATAATGCAAAGAAAATAAGTTTGTATTCATTTGAACCACACTTTTGAAATGTTTTTAACAAAGCAAAACAATGTTTGGTGGAATAGCGCTGTTTTACAATGACAGCTTTCATGTGACCTGGCATCCTCAGAACCAGTCTGTATGGTTGCTGTTTGTTAACCCGATGCCACTCCTAGCAAAACTATTCAAGCTGCTTGTTTTTCTTTTGGCTTGTATTCACCAGTCTTTATCTCGATCACACACAGGAGCCTTTCATTGTTAAATGCCACTCCTCAACCATGAAATGACAGCAGCCGAGCCTTTCACTGTGCTGACAGGTACAACTGGCTCCTAAATGCAACACTGGAGTTTTATCAAGGTTACATTCCAGTCCTGCACACAGGTTTCTTGATTTCAATGATATTAAGGTCTGGAGATTTAGGTCGGACGTCGGCGAAAAGGTTAATAGTGGCCAAACGACAGTACTACAACTTATGTGACTGAAGGGCCAAAAAACGTTTCCCATTGACTTACATTGGGAAAGAGAGGTCTGTAAATCAACTACCCAGTACAGAGCTGAATCCAGAGTTATTTTCTTTTACTGAGCTGAGAGTGGGAGATCGGAGGCTCTAAGCACGCCCGCTCTATGGGCACAGACACGGGTACTGACAAACTAAAAATAGTTTAAAAAGGTCTTCATTTTTTTCAGAGCATTTTACCACTCAGTACGCTGGAGTAACTGGGCTACAGCTGCCTTCCTCTGTTAGTTTGTTGTGTTCCTGTGTGACTATGTTGAATCTGAACCAAACCTTAAAACACTTCAGTCACTCCACTTCCACACACTCCTTCTCCACTGCAACCCTCTCCACTCTCACCAACTGCCTCCCTGAAATACAATCCTTGATGCAATGCAACTTCCTTAAAGTCAACTGTGAAAAATCAGACATGGTAATCATCAGTCCCAAATCCCTCACCAAAAACAATATGACTACTGAACAAGTTTCGAATACACATGGTCATTTAGAGAAAATATTTGTAAACAATGACAACTGATCAAACAAGTCACTAAAACTGAATCTTTCCACCTCAAAATCACTCTCCTTCTCTGCTGCAGAAACACTTAACCATGCTTTCATCTCATCACAAAATGACTGCACCAGTATCCTTAACGGTACATCATCCAAACTCCTCAAAAGAAATCCAGTACATCCAGGACTCTGCAGCACGTCTCCTCACCCACACCTGCTCCAGTGACCACATCACCCCCCCAATGGATCCATTTTAAAATCCTCCCCCTCACCTACAAAGCCCTCCCTAACCTCCTACCTCACCAACCTGCCCCACACCACACTCCTTCCTGCACCCTCCGCTCCTCAGACGCCAGCCTCCTGGTTCCACCTTGAAGGACAAAGCACCGGACCTGGGGGGGGACAGAGCCTTTTCCATCACTGCCCCCAACCTCATCTGTGACTGCACCAATCTGTCTTCATTTAAATGTAAAATCAAAACTCACCTTTTAAAAACTGCTTTTAATTTGTAGTTATTGTGTTTTATACATTTTAAGTGTGTTGTTTTAATGGATTTTAGCATGTTAAGTGTCTTTGAGCACCCCTAAAAGAGCTCTATAACTCCTCAAAATCACAAAGGAGCTTCTCCTCTCCTCCAACGCCGGTAACCTCAACATCCTCATCCTCCTTGACCTCAGCGCTGCCTTCGACACCACCAATCACTCCATCCTCCTCACCCGTCTTGAAACCACCTTCAACATCACCAGCACTGCCCTCTCTTGGTTCACATCATACCTCTCCCTCCCCACCCGGACCAAACTCAAGTCCTGGGGCGGCAGAGCCTTCTCCATTGCTGCACCCACCCTCTGGAACTCACTACCCCAATCCATCAGAGATTCTTCCTCCCTCACCGCATTCAAAACATCACTCAAAACCCACCTGTGCAACACTGCATTCAACCACTGACCACCCCCCCCCTATTTTCTGTTGTGTTTATCTCTTTTTGTATTTTGTAGTTTTTTTTATTCTCTGTCAAAGCTCTATACAAGTATAATGTATTATTATAAATAAAACGTGTTCTTATTATTAATATTATAATATCACAAACACCAATCAAAGCGGCGTAGGCCAGCAACGTTTGTGTTCTGGGAAGTCAAATGACAGATTGATGTCAAAGGAGTGGTGGATTTGAAGAGATCATAGATTAGCTTTAGTTCTACGTAAGAGAAGGCAGTATGAGGCAAGGGGAAGCGGTGACACTATTCTAATGTAGTGTAAATATGCTTTTATGTTTTTTTAATAATGAACTACCATTTTATTAAAAAGTTAACGTCATGCATGTTTTTGATGAAAGGCTGACATACTTGTTTCTTTGTTTTAAATGTGCTGTTGTATGGTTTTGCATCTAGTTTTTAAATTAAAACTGAGAAAACGTTTATCGCGTTGATTTCTTAAATCCAAAGATAGAAGAGAAACGTCGCCAGGATGGGGAACGTCATGTCAGTGGAGATGTAGCAGGAGCCACGATGAACATCCTGCAGGAGCAGCTGACGGGTGTAGCTCTCCAGCGCCCCCTGGTGCCTGACCTCTGCCCCAGCAGTCACAGGAGAGCACTTCCAGAGAGCCTGCAGCAGATCATCCAGTTCCAGAAATATCAGATTGAGGAGAAAAAGGTCAAATAAGGGAAGAGATATTCTCAAATCTAACGCTCTTTATCAAAGTTCTAAAAGCTTGTTCTGTCTGCAGAGGGTGGAACTAGAGAAAAAGCGAGACGAGGAGCAACATGCTCGCATGCGCATGGACTCGGCTCGCACCGCTCTCTTATTGGAGAGGCAGCAGGCCAGACTGGACCGGCAGGAGAGACAACATGTGGACAGAGCCAACGTCCTGATGGCCCAGACACACAAGCAACAGTCAGTGTTCACTCTACACACACAGTGTTTAGACACAAATAAACCATTGTCTCACTCTGTTTCTGAACTGGTTTCGTTTTTAGGAAACCGGACATAGAAAGAGGAAGCATTGACGACAGCTTCTTCTCCAAATTCAACACCTGCAGCAGATGAAGGATGACTCATAACAGGGGCTGCTGAGGATGAAGCTACATGAGAAGAACACTGAATAAACTGAAGCACAGAGTTGTTTTTAAATCATGTCAGAATTTAGTTATTGGATGATTGTAACAGTTTATATGAATCTTGGCTACCGCGCAAAAATGAGCGAAAGAAAGAAATGGTATACTTTTAGTTTTCAGTGAGGTTCTTTATGGGTAACATATCGTCAGTGATGCCACTTTTTATATCCACAGCTAAAAAAGATCTTATTACACGGCTTGGCAGAATACTCAATTTTGATTGGTCCATTTGGACATTTCAGAGTGTCCAAACTATTTGTTAATAGTCGCTAACAGACCGCTGCTTAGGCGTTGCAAAAATGAGCAAAATAAATCAATTGTATACATTTTGTTTTCAGTGAGGTTCTTTATGGGTAACAAAAATATCCCTTTCTTTACAACAGCTGAAAAATGACTTTCAAGTTTAAATTAAACTCTCTTTTAGGAACAGTGTTTATCAAAGCCCTCAGGATTGAACAGGCTACACTCTTACAAAACACAAGCACACTATGGAGACATCAAACAACATGTAGTTAACAATGACGTCCATTAATGCACTCTAAGAAACATGGCCATCCTGACTCTTAAAGTGCAAAGACATTAAAAAAGCTATTGGACATGTATAGTTCTAGTAATTGCCCTAAATGTTATATCACATAACTCAGGTCAGTTTCACAGCAGATACATATGACGTCACTGGCTCTGTCATATTCAGCCTTTCTTCATTTCCTCTTTTATCCCAGACCTTTTCGTCTGTAACATCCCAAATTGTCTTGTGTGAAAAAGAACAAAACTGAACCCTAACTAACTTTAATGTCCCTTATTTTTGCCACCACAAACTTGCTCACCTTTAAAGCACTGTTCCACTTTAAATGTACCCTTGCTCCAAGGCATTCCTTTGCGCAAAGGAAGAATCAAGTCAATGCCCAAAATTATTCTAAAAATGATATATAAAAATGTCTCTTTTAAAAAGCATTTTCAGACACAAACGTATCCCATTTTCTCTGCCACAGAGCCAGGGCTTTCTGCTGTTGCTTCGGAGTCAAAGAGCTGTACCTGCAACACAGACAGAGAGATGTCAATGAGCGCTCAGTTCATTTTGAATTTGTAAATCTCTTCTCATCACTGCTGAACTTTACCTAATAGAGTTAAAGGCCAGCTCTATGAGGGAGCCTACATTGGATCTCATCCCACCAAAGCCCACAAAAGCTTCATAGAAGTCATAAGAGAGTCCGGAGGAGCCGAACATGCCCGGGTCATCGGAGCTGATCACCAGCGGGTGGTTCTCCGACATCAGAGCGGCTGCAGGGTGGTTACGCAAATCTTTCACCAGCTTCATCACCTGAACAAGGACAGGAGAGGACATATTGGATTACAAGAAGCTAGATCAACACCATCGTAGCCTCATGTCGATAGGATTTTCAGAAGTGCTGTCTACGTTAATGAATTATGGCTTTGCGAGAAATCTGGAAACCTAAACATCTAGTGCACATAATTACAGATGGGAATCACAGCGGCTGTGTTGATGCTTTAGCTAAGTGTCAGAACATGAGCAGACATTTAGCACACACAGCAGAGCTATGAGTTTAGCAAGCCTCTGCAAATTACGTGCAATTCATGCCAATCATTTAGAAATCATCAAAACTAAAAATAAACATTGTGCATTACTTTATTACAACAACTCAAAGGTATTTGATTTACCCCCCCCCCCAAAAAAAATACAAGTAAATACTTGTATTTCATACTGGGGTTTGATTTAAGATGGTTAAGATACTTGAATACATTTTTTTAAGTGATTGACATAACACATTTTAACTTTTACAATTAAGTAGCTGGAAAAAAGAATTTGTTTGTATATGTTGGTTTACAAGATGAGAGTGTACCTGGTTTGAGATGGGGCAGACTTCCACAGCCACCCCCCTCTTTCTGGATAGACCTTTGGCCACGGGGTGGCGGAGCAGAGCAAAGCCGTGGCCGATTCTGGACGTGTTAAACAATAGAGCATCCAACAAGTTCTGGTCCACCTCTGAGCCCTCCAGATCTGCTCGTAGCAGAGAGAAATCAAAAACGTCTTTATAGAAGACAGTGTTCTTGAATGACTCTTCTTTAACCCTAAATTCCACAGTTGGTAAATATTTGGTTTTGCAACTTTGTGGAATAGGACAGAAAAAGGCCTGGGCTGCCACTCTGTCCACAGTGAGAAACACATGTACTTATTTGTTCATTTAACTACGAAGGTAATCCTTAAAATCAACATTCCCATTTTTGAGTGTGTGATAAATAAACAGGCAATGTTCGGCTATTTACCGACATTTATCTTTCCATGACAAGTTGAAGGGTTTGTTGTCAGTTTAGCTAAACTCCTGTAGTAGCCTCTATGCTTAAAATGAACACATCAGTCATTGTCTGGATGAACCTCTGAGCCCCATGCTGCAGGATAGGATTTGTAAAACTGAATGCTCAGGAGCTCACCTGTCTCCCCCGCATGGAAAAAGTAGGGCAGCGTCACCCCTCTCCCTGCCGGCAGTGACAAAGCATCTTTGAAGTACCACAGGGGTCTGCCGCTGTCCTCACGGCCCACCTGTAAGTAGAGAGGGAGTAAACAATATGATTGTTATGTTTACTTTCACTGATTCAGGCACGTGTGTGTGTGGTTTAAAGCGGCTTACAATCTTACTATTTGCATTGTAAGTGAAACAAAAGATCTGTACAAACCAGGGCTGTTCAATCAGAGATATCGGCCACAAAGTTCAGTAAGATCTCTTATTACACAGCCGAGTCGAATACTTGATTCCGATTGGTCGATTCATTTCAGATGTTTTTAATACTAGCTAACAGACTGTTGTAAAGAATGATTAAGGGAATATGGGCAGTGATATCGATTCGCAGAACCGAAGTCCAGTAAAGAGGCTCTATTTTGCTTTTGGGGGTTGTTCTTTTTTGTGTAAGATGGATTTATGTGCATGTAAATGGTCTACAAAGGCTAAAATCCCTAAGTTCCCGCCCGCCCTGCATGACCGCCTCGATTGTACTACTTTGTTTACTTTTATAACATAGCGACATCATTATGTTACGCTCCCGCTTCTATATTATGTATATATTATACAAATATACAGTATAAAGACATTGATCCATATTGCACAGAAATTGTAGGGTTGACATTTTATGATTTCACAAAATATTTAAACAATGAAGAATGTCGATAAATAATCATCACTACCGGTAATGTGTATATAATAACTTCGTTGGTAAAAGCCAATAGTAAAACAGTCAATGACAATCATTTGAGGAAACACTTAAGATGTTACAATTTCAAATAGTTAGTCTCATATCACAATATTGATATAGTATTGATATATTACCCAGCCCTAGTCAAAACTGGAGAAGTGGTGCGATAACTTGAACTCCTCACCATGTCAAAGCCAGCCATGATGTCTGGGAAGTCTCTCTGTAGCTTCATCGCCTCCTCCACAGCTCCGGCCATCGTGGATGCATTCACTCCTCTGAAGAATACAGTACAGTGCAGAGTGTTATTATATGATATCAACTTCATCTTATGTCAATCCTTCATAGTTATAAGTCAAATCTGTTGTTGGGGAGGTCACCTATGGATTGTGTAGATCATTCTCACTCCAAAGAAGTCCGGGTGTTCTGTTGTGAACTGTCGGGTGACCTCCTGGTACGTCTTCAGAGTCCACGCTGGATCATGAGTGCTGCCGTCCAACTCGTATATCTGAGTACCAGAAAACACACTCAATAACAATTATAATACCAGTGTTTCCAGTTAGCTAGTATTTGCCGGATTTTGACCAGTTCAATCTCTTTGGGTCCGACAAATTTAATTCTCTGCGGCTATAATGTTCTGCAGAAATAATCAGCAATAAGCTACATTTGAAGTGTATCAATAATAAGGTCTCATCGATGCCACAAGTATGCAACAAGATGCCATCGCTGTTAGGATAGCGGTTATGGAAGCTTGAATTTCTCAACGGCCTGAAGAGTCTTCATCAGTGTATCTATCATCTAAATGAATCCTGAGTAGTTAAAATGTTACGAGTCAGACAGACTTGACAAATGGCGTTTCCCGGTTTTATTTGATATGAGAATATGTAGGTCTAAAGCTGAGGGAAAATGGTCTGCAAAGTCTAAAATCCCAGAAGTTCCCTCCAGAGGGAGTTTCTCTCCCACACACTGAAACGCCTCAATTGGACTATTTTGTTTACTTCCGTAACATATTGACATCAATATGTAGGATATATGACAGGCCAAGCGGCGGGACATCTCTAAGCCGTTGACCAATCACAACAGAGCCGGCCAGCTAACTAATCCGACCATCTCTCTCATTCTCTTTCAAGTTTCACACTTCCCTCTGCTGTTGTAATATCTGACCTCATCAGTAAATCCAAGCCATCTACCTGTCAGTTAGACCCTCTTCCTACCCCCCTGGTAAAAGCCTGTCTACCTTCATTGTCCTCCCTTATTACTGTCATCATACATTCCTCCCTCACCTCTGGTCTTGTTCCCTCACTTTTCAAATCAGCCGCCATCACGCCCATACTGAAGAAACCTGGTGCAGACCCCAACAACTTTAATAACTACCGTCCCATATCTAACCTACCATTTCTCTCAAAAATCCTGGAAAAAACTGTTGCATCCCAAATCCATACCCACTTGTCTGACAATAACCTGTATGAACAATTTCAATCTGGTTTCCGCCCCCATCACAGCACAGAAACAGCACTGGTGAAAATCACTAACGACCTCCTCATGGCAGCTGACTCCGGACTACTAACTATCCTCATCCTCCTTGATCTTAGTGCAGCTTTTGACACCATTTCCCACAGCATCCTCATTGACAGACTGACCTCCATCGGGATCACTGACACACCCCTCCTCTGGTTTAAATCATATCTCTCTGGCCGCACTCAGTTCATCCAACTCAAAACCTTCAAATCACAGCCACTTCCAGTCACAACCGGTGTTCCCCAGGGCTCTGTCCTGGGGCCTCTTCTTTTTATCATCTATTTACTTCCTCTTGGCAATATCTTCCGTAAACACAACATCCACTTTCATTGTTACGCGGATGACACCCAGCTCTACTTGTCCTCCAAACCAACCACCATCCTCCCTCCATCCTCCCTGTCTGACTGCTTACAGGACATCAAATCCTGGTTTTCCTCTAACTTTCTCAAACTTAACGACAGTAAAACCGAGGTTCTCCTCATTGGCTCAAAATCCACCCTAACCAAACCTGACAGTTTCTCAATTACTATAGACAACTCTTCAGTCTCCCCCTCCCCTCAGGTTAAGAGTCTGGGTGTCATCCTCGACGGCACACTTTCATTCAAATCTCACATCAGTAATATCACTCGGTCTGCCTATTTCCATCTACGCAACATCAACCGCCTCCGGCCGTCCCTTAACCCTAAGACCACCGCCATTCTTGTTCACACCCTGGTCACTTCCCGCATCGACTACTGCAACTCCCTTCTCTTTGGTCTCCCTCTCAAATCCATCCACAGACTTCAACTGGTTCAGAACTCTGCCGTCCGCATCATCACCAGAACCCCCTCCATTAACCACATCACTCCTGTTCTTCAGCAACTTCACTGGCTCCCCGTCAAACCCCGTATCGTTTTTAAGATTCTGCTCCTCGCCTTTAAGGCCATCCATAACCTCACTCCTCTGTACCTCTCCGACCTCCTGCACATCAACACACCCATCCGCACTCTCAGGTCTTCTGCTTCCCTCAGCCTCACTGCACCCCCCTTCCGTTTAACCACCATGGGGTCTAGAGCCTTCAGCCGCTCTGCACCCCGCCTCTGGAACTCCCTCCCACATGACATCCGCAACACTGACTCTCTCCCCATTTTCAAATCACGCCTCAAAACATATCTCTTCACACTCGCATATCCACCCTGATCATTATCCATCACACATCCTCTGTTTTATTTATTTGATTTGTTGCATTGTCTTGTTTATGTTTCTTATGCTGGTGTTAGGTATTGTGTATCTTGTTTTTTTTTAATGTGTTTGTACGGCGACCTTGAGAGCCTTGAAAGGCGCCTATATAAAATAAATGAATTATTATTATTTATTATTTAATCAGAGCAGACTGGGCTCTGGTTTCAGACAGAGGGTGAAAAGAGGTGCTGCAGCACAGGCAGTGTGAGAAAGATTACCTCCGGGAGTAGAGCTCGCACTTCCATGTACATGACGTTGTCCCTGTAGAACTGGGAGAGACCTTGGTAGTAATAGTCTCTGAACACAGGAGCGTATGTGACCAGACCCCACAGAGCACGGAAGCACTGTTCAAATGTTTTCCAGATCACATCCTGACTGGGATACACCAATTCTGGATCCTGATCAGTGAAGAGCGTCATGTTGGCCATGAGGCTGGGAATGTAAGGACATGGTTTGGATCAGATGATCTGCGTCAATTTCTGGTCAACTTACCACTGTCGAAAAAGCTTTTAAATGAGTAATCTAAAGTATATACACAGGATGATTACAGAATTAACTATTCTATGGGACATTTCAATACTGCCATTCTTACTGACAAAGATATAGTATCTTATATATAATATTCTTTTATTGCTAACACACTACAATGACGCATAAAGCATTAAAACTGACAATCAGAACACAAAACCTTAGGCAAAGGAATTTGACATAAATGTTTTTGTCTTTTTCTGAACACTGTCAACGACTTATCAATCTGCATGTAAACACTATAAAGAAGTCAACAGGTAAGTACATTTAAAAACTGTATATTGCACATTACTGCATGTATTTCTCTAGCCTTGAATTACATTTCTTTGTAGAATTGTATGTATGTGATTGGTTGTAGAACAAATCACCTCTGGCTGGCAGAGAACTTACTGCCCCATAACTTGTAAAGTGTCTCCTCTTCCATAACCCAGAACACTTTGCACAACAGCTAATTGCACAGTTTAATGTATATTCAATCCAATGCCATGAAGTGTCTACAGTATATTTCTATATATTCCTGTAGCCTAGACTATATATTGTACTCCATTTATTCAATAATTTGTTATATTGTGTATTATTTAGAAACTATAGGGATAAATGTATTTTCTATTGTGAATTTGTATATACACAAGTTACTAGTGTCAATTAGTATTTTGAATTTATACATATTTATATATACTTGCTGCTAATGTTAATTTGATTTGTTGTTATATTTGTATCTTATTGTATCTTTTAAACATGTTTAACTCATGTAATGCTTGACACTGCTGCTGGGACAAAATAATTTGCCTTGATATCTTTTACTGTTTACAAAGAATATACACTGGAATAATTTATAGTACGATACAATTATCCCGTGCTGTTGGACATGATGAAATATATACGTATATGTAGAGTCTACATACGTATTTCATCCTATGATTGGGTTTTTATTTCTCTCTGTCTAGACAGAGAGAAATAACCCAGATTATAAATCTGTAGATTTGTCCTCACCTGTTGTCGAGCTCCGTGGAGTTGACCATCTTGGCCCGGAGGTTTTCCAGCAGGGTCCACGGAGAGCAGCGGGGCAGAGCAGCGGGCGGCCGGGCTGAGAAGATGAATCTGATGGAATGGTTGTCAGTGAAGCACATGTAGCAGTGAGGCCGATAGGTCGCGTTCTTCACCAGCCACTCCACTTCTACCATGGCAAAGTCATGGACATGGAGAGCTCCCCCTGAAAACAATGAATTACAGAAATATAAAGAAATAAAGAGTGTGGATACTTAAAATAAGTCTGAATCTGTGTGTATTCAAAAAGTTACATTCCTGCAAAAAAAATGGTGAGTTCCAAGCATCTTTTGAGAACATTATCATAGGTGATTGGGAAGAACGTTCTCCGGTGAAAAAAAAAGAAGATTGTTACATATATTTTTTATCCTTAATCTGCCAATAATTGTCTGGATTAAATGATTACTTTATTTAGCCTGTAATATCATGCAATTGTGGAAACATGTCCATTCCAAAGTCAAAGTGAATACCATGAAAACTTTATTTTTGTAAAAATGAGAGTTCAAAACTCAACAATATTTATTTCATTATGAAAAATGTGAGATATGTTATATATTATTCACAACTGAAAAGTTTAGCTCGGGATTTGGGGATCATTTAAAAATGAATAGAGAACATGTTTCAGCTCTAATCAGGAAACAATGTGCAAGTCAGTTATTTCAGAGGAAGAATAATCTTTAATTATATAAAACCATTTTTTGATTTATACGAAAATAAACCAAATGTATCCTTAGTTGTATTGGTAGTTTTCCATTTTGATAAAAGTTTTCAGAGTTCAACATACCCATGTCATAAAGCTAAACTGTCTCCATAACAGCTAAAATATTGAAAAAGAAAGCTTAAAGTAAAGAAATAATATTAAAAAAATTATACGCATTATAACCCGCAGCTAACAAGTAATACAAATAAGTGCAACATGTTAATGAACATGTTCTGTAAACACTTTGAAGTGTGACACTGAATGCACCTTTAGGCATCTTCTGCAGCAGCTTGAAGATGGGACTGGTGCTGATGACGTCCCTGGCCCTGAAGAAGTGCATGGCGGGAGGAAAGTCTGCTCTCGAGACCTCCTCCTGCTTCATCTTAAAGAGAAGAGCGTCCAGCCGCTTCTCAGCATCAGTCAGCACCACCTGCCCTCCTGTCTGCATGGAGACCTCCAGCTGTATGAGGGCCTCTCTGTGCCGAGGGTCCGGGGAGGACAGCCCGCCGGCCAGGCAGCACAAGAGCAGGCAGACAACCACCGCATGGCGGCGGTGTAGCGACACTTCCATTGTCCCGCGAGTGTGTGGAGCTTAGAAAGAAAACAAATAACATGAGGAAACGTGTTTTCAATGGTTGGGGTAAAAGAAAACCTGCAACCACTCACACCACAAAACTAACAGGTGTGTGTTCCTCGGCTATATGCGCACTTCCCTATATTAACGTTACCGAGTGAAAAGAGAAGCGATGATAATGAGTATGACTCGTTTACGTTACACAATTAACGTGAGAATAAGTGAGAATAAGTGAGAATAAGCTAACAATGCTAGCTTTACTCTTGCATTTAATGCATTACTTTGCGAAGCAGAGCTCTGTTTTTACTTGTTTTGTTTTTTTCCGTGGGCTGAACAGACATAAGAAAACCCGCTAACGTTACTTACTTGACATGTCACAGTCTTATGATTGTAAAATACTGTATATTAAAGAATAATGCACACACGCTACCTTAGCAGCTGCCTCGAAAGCTGTCGACGGTTTTGTAAACAGTCCACAGTCACTTTAACAAGAGAGGACCACGGGAAAACTTGCTCGTCGGTGTCAGTTAGACATCTGCTTTTATCTAATAGCTTACTTTATTATAAAAGTTTCACTGTTCAAAAACAATTCAGGAAATTAACAGCGTTAAAGCTACAGGGTCTGATTACATTTGGTGTTTTTGTTTCGCTAGTCAGGCATAAAGCTTTTGCTCAGGGTGCATTTAAGTCCCGCCTTTGTCCTGTTATGATTGGCTGAAATTGAACCCGGATAATATTTTGATTGGTGGAGCGGCATCATGGAGGTTATAATAAGCAAAACAGAGATTAGGAAATACAAATTCCCCATTCCCTTGTCAACACACATGTGTGTACATTTGCACAAGATATTGTTTAGCAGTGACTTTAACAAAATTCATATTTTTTTTTAGCATTCCACAAAATTGAGGTGCAGATAATACAATTGAGATTTTAATGGAATTCAACTTCATATCAACATATCTATTACATATTTCAAACAGGATAGCTGATTTCAGTGATTTGTTTTGTTTTTCCAAATCAAACAGAGATTCATCTGACGGTGGAAATGGCCGCTAAGCAGATTGTTTACTGTTATACTTCGCCTTGTTTTTCCATGTTCACAATTTAATTAAACAACCTGGTTACTTAGTTCAATTAAAGTCTCTTAATTATATGCCTCATTTGAATTTCCACTGCCAAGACCTGAACAAAATAATGTACTTTGTTTCCAAGTAGTCCCTTGAAGGAAGCCTGAGGAGCCATGCTGCCTCCTCTTCCACTGCAACACATCACTTCACTGAGTCCTGCAGTCATGAGTAGGTTCAAACAAAGCAGCATCACAATCTGTGGAGGGTGTCCGTCAAGAGGAGAGCACTAATTGAAGGCGATGGCGTGAGGCGCTCCAATAGATTAATGCATTGTCTTGCATTGGCCATCTTGTTTTGTCTGTTTGCATTTCATTACTTTTGGCTTCAGTTTCTTTAACGGATAATAGATGCCCCTTTTTCCCTAAATGACACAGCTTTGTTTTATGTGTATTTGTTCACAGTAGTGCTAGGAACAGCTGTTTTGGTGATGGTGTAATCTGCTGCTTTGGTGATGTGACTATTAGTAAAAATTGACAACAATAAGACTGACTTGTTCAAGAAAAGAGATTTATTTCTAAGAAATGTACAGTATAGAAAATACTCCCTTCCATTTTTCAAAATAATCTATATCAGTCAGATAAGAACTTGTAAACGTCACTTAAAAATTAAACACACAGGTCTTTTTTCAATGCCACCATGCTACCGAGGTAAAAGATAACCGCTTGAAACATCAAGAAAGAAAAAAAAAACGTACACCACATTTATATTAAAACAAGTCCAAAAATGTACAAAAAATCTTAAAAAGAAGAAATAAATATGATTCACATTTAATCACGTCTAAAATTGTATTCACTAGTGCAGAGAGGTGACAGCAGAGTAAAAGTGAGAGATGAATGCACACTTCCGAACATCTGGTGCCCATTCTACACACCAGAGAGAAATACACACACACAACATCTGTACAGCGACAGTTTCATAACCGTGGAGCTTTAAAATAAACACTGTCCTTCATACTTCAGACAGCACGAGTGAACACACTACCTCCAAAAGGAGCCCGCTAAATATGAAGACAATTTCCTATTTTAACAAAATAGCAAGTCTTGTGTGACACATTTAGATAATTGTCTCACAGCTTCTAGCACTTTCCTATTCCATCATCCTTCCTCAAATATCTCCTCTCATTGCCTTAGGTACCTATTACTAAGAAACGTAGTAAACCCAAACTCTATGCAGTCTATTACAGACCCTAGACTGGAAAACGGTCTAGTTTTACAACCTCTAGGCAGAAAGGCATGCAATCTGTACAACTAGAGACATGTGATGTAATATTGTCTAAAACTGAGAAGGAACGTGTTGTCCCTAAAAAGAGAGTTCACACTTTCAAGGATTGTTTCTCATAAAGAACACCTATTGTGATGCTATTTCATAGTCAGTCCTGGAAGCCGAACGACAAACAAAAAGTGGTCACAAAATGTTGACCCACAGGAGCGAGGACTGGACGTTTGGGGAGAGGGAGGGGGGCTCAGTAGTGCCACAGATTGGCTAGATGAGGTAGATTCATTGGCTGCCATCGATGAACTGCACGAGTAGGGTCCACAGGTGCAACATGGATGTTATAAGGTGTAGGGTGCCGGACAAAACCACGTCATTTTATTTTGGGGTGAGACCGAAGGGGTTAAATGGTTTGGCCGTGTGATTAGCCATAGATATTGTTAAACAGACCTAAACAAGTTGCGTTTGTCTTCATGCTGCTGCTACTCCTTCAAATAACGCAGAAAAATACCCGTATATAGAAACTGTTCACCCTGAGGATACATTTATATTGACATGGGGAAGAGGAAGCACTCAGAGAGTCAACCATGCAAAGGGCAGGCCCGTGAATAAAGAGACAAAGTACAAATGTGAAGGTGGAATGCAACAATTGTCACAATAAAAATAAAATTCCAGCAGGATTTGATGGGTAAGTGTTACCCGCCAGCAGGACATATCATTGAAAAACTGCCCCCATCTGGGACAAGAGGTAAGGATATATTTTTCATACATATATGTGTTTGAATTTAAATAAAACTATCAAAGGCCACTCAATTCCAGGATGTCGAGACAGACAAAACCCATAGTGCACAACAGAGATTGTTGGATACAAATTGCGGCGTCTTGCCACTCTGCTAGTCGAAAGACATTCTTGACAGTGAAGGCAGCTTTGAGAAGATGCATAAACAGCGTGTTTACTCTGAAACACTGCAAGGTTTGGACCGGAAATGAAAAATATCTGGGCCTTTTTACAGGACGGTTTATCCTCGAAGAAATCCATGTTTGTGTCCTTGCAGCTAGTCTGCATAGCTCATTGTCTACACATTCACTCATACATTCACAAAGGAAACTAAGGCAATTGCAAAGGGGCCTGTGAGTCGCCTGGGTTAGGGTGACAGTCTCAAAGTACCTCCTTTTCTACACCTGAGTTTAAAGATAAAGTTGGAACAGGAAACGGTAAAAACAACAGTCCATCTCATCTTCACCACAGTCCTCCTTAGTTATCGTTAAAAGATTCATCAAGATTCATCAAGCACTGCCGTCAATGGACTCAGTACTCGTGCTCAGTGTCGTTTAATCCATTTAAAGTTCCATTCCTCAAAGAGGAGAGGGCTGTCCAGTGTTCTCTGTTCTCGCAGGGCTGTCATGGACAGATTGGCCAAGTGGTTAAAAATAACACCCTTCTGATGGAGGGCCCTGAATCAAAACCACTGAGGTGAAGTGTCAAGCAGTCAAGTCAGTTCTACTTAAAGAAGGGCAAGCAAAAAGAGTCTTTTTTACAGGGCTCGATGCCAGTTCACAGTATTATTATCGCAGTGACACCAGCTGCCTGGTTGGATCTTCCAAGTTCAGTGATGGGCCAAAACCGAGCCAACAGTTCCTGTCCATTGAAAGATGATCAGTCTGTGGAGCGAAGAGTCCCATCTACCGTCTCCATCAGCACACACACATGTTCTTGCTCTTGGCTCAGTGCTTTGTCCAGATGTTCTTTGATAACGACATGCCTGAAAGGGAATGAAAAACAATAAGTTAATCATCGAAACACAAACATGGCTTGACAGCGCCATGGTATCATGTTTTTAGTCTGGCTCTCTTTGGAATTGTATAAAGAGACTTTTTGCCATTCTATTCTTATGAATAGATGTGCAGTAAACACCTTTTGAAGGAAGAGGGATAGAAGAAGGAAGTTGCTTGAAGCTGTCAGATATAGAAAGTGGTTTATGAAAGTTATTTTCACTCACTCTGATTTGTTATTTGTCACGCTCCTTATTTACTGCTAGGGCCGCCGGGAGCAGCCATCATCTGTTGCCTATGACAAACAAGACGAAACAAAGAAGAATGTTAATAAAATTGTTGTTAACACTTGAATGGTTAAGATGTTTTTATAGCCAATGTTAATTAAGCTCAGTCAACCAATAGATGTATCTTCATCCATCAGTGTGTAGCCCGAAGAACATATAACTAATCACATGATACCTGCATGTCCAGTGTACTTGCCTAACTAAGGCCTAATGTTGATTTCTTTGTTTGGGTCACACAAGTTTTTGCATATTTAAAAACAAGTTCTAATTTAATTTTGTTTCTAGGCCGCAGAGTGAACTTCTACTACAATGTCCACCATCCCATTTTGAAAAACGAATGCTTGCTGGAAATGATTATTAATAAGATGTTTTTAAAGGGAAGTAGACCAAATGAAGTGTTTACAAAATATTAAGCTCAATAAAAAAAAATACTGACTTTGACGTAAGATTACAGATAGAGAGGGAATTACAATATTAAAAACCATATAAAACTTCAATCTTTGTACCCAGGGTGCAGGAAGTGTTCCGGTGCCAGGCCTCTCTGCTGCATCATCATGCCCTGGAAGTGCCCTGCAGGCCGGGGGTGTCCGTACATGGCCATGCGTGTCTGCCCCGGGGAGAAGGGCAGCTGCTGGGGCCGCTGCAGAGCCTCCATCAGGTGAGGGTGGGGTCTTTGGGCGGCATATCGCCCGGGATCGGCGTAATGCTGGCCGGCGTATGGCGCTCCATTGCCTGAAGATTGAAACATCATGTGTGGGGGAGGAACACCGCCTCGCTGCATCCCAGGGTGCACGGCGCGGGGGTCGTACATGAACCCCGACACCATGTGGGAGGCGGGGGGGTGCTGCTGGGCGCTGCGGCGGCGGGCGGCAGCGTTGTGGCTGTCGAGGTCCAGGAGTTCTTTCGGGCTTTCAGGCCGCTCTGACCCCTCTGTGTGAGCCTGCTTTGCCGGGCTGCCCCCCCCGTCCTGCTCCCTGCTCACACACCTCCTCTCCTCCGGGCCCCCAGGCTGCGGCCCCGCCTCAGGCCCGGGCCCAGGGGACACCAGACCCTCAGAGCCCAGTGGGGACATACTGCTCTCCTTCAGGTGACCTCTGGCACTAGCTGCAGGCAGGTAGGCGTTGGGGGGCATGGGGTGGCGAGGCTGATACTGATGCCACTCCTCTGCAGGGTAACCCCCCCTGCTGTTCACCTGGTTATGAGCCTGAGCCTGGGGGTGGGGCTGTGCGTAGTAGTGTTGCTGCTGGTACTGATGCTGCGGGTACATGTTAGGGTGGGCCTGGGGGTGC